TGATTCTGGGGATTTTGAAGGGAAAACACTTCTGTTGTCTTCAGATTGTAAAAAGTATGTTGGGGTCATTGGTAGTAAGTGGAAACTTCTAATGTTTTCGGGTAGATGTCCATAGTGAAGTGAACTTGATACATTATAAGGGAGCAATTGAAATGTTTTATCAATTTGTTTATTTTACATACCAACCCTTCCTCTTCTCCCATCTCCCCATCCTGTCCTCTGTCTCCATTCAGAGAAGGGGTAAGGCCTTCCATGGAAGTCAAGGAAGCATGACATATCAAATTGAGGTAGAACCAAGCTCCTCCCCTTGCATCAAGGTTGGAGAAGGCATCCCACTAAAGGGAATAGGTTCCAAAGAGCCAGATCATGTGTCATGGACAGGTTCTTGTCTCACTGCTTAGTGCCCCACAAAAGACCAAGCTACACAATTGTCACCCAGATGCAGATGGCGTAGGTCAGTCCCATGCTGGTGGCCTAGCTGTCCATGTAGAGTCTGTGAGCTGTCAAAATCTCTGTGGGTTTCCCTGTCATGATCTTTACACCCTCTTGCTCATATAATACCTCCTCCCTCTCTTCAACTGGACTCAGGAGCTGGGCCCCATGCTTGGCTGTGGATCTCTGCATCTGCTTCCATCAGGTAGTAGATGAAGGCTCTATAATGACAATTGGGGTAGTCACCAATCTGATTATAGGGGAAGGCCACTTCAAGCATCCACTCCACTATTTCCAGGAGTCTTAGCTGGGGCCATCCTTTTGGATTCCTGGGAATTTCCCTAGCACCAGGTTTCTCCCTAACCCCATAATGGCTCCCTCTATTGAGATATCTCTTTCATTACTCTCCCCATCAATAAAGTGAATTTTAAAAACTTAGCTTTTTGTTATTAAGAATTTGAGGTAAAGAAGCCTGGCTTTGGCTGACTCTAGGTGCACACTTTTAAGTAGCTATTATTCATTTATATAACTCCTGTCAGTCATCTATGCGTAGCTCTCTTTATCACTTTGTCTCTGTGTTAAATTTAGTAGTTCTAAGGATGAAATAAGACAATACAAGCTCTTTATTTTATATGAATGGACATCTAACCACAGGCACCTCCTTTTCTTCACATTTTATGGTGTCCCTTTCTCTCACCTCACGTCTCAGGGTGAGCATCAGCTTGTATTCTGTCTCTCTCCTCTCTCTCTCTCTCTCTCTCTCTCTCTCTCTCTCTCTCTCTCTGGTTTTTCAAGACAGGGTTTTTCTTGTAACAGCCCGGGCCATCCTGGAATTCTATCTGTACACCAGACAGCCTTGAACTCACAGATCCACCTGCCTCTGAGGCCTCCCAAGAGCTGGGATTAAAGGCGTGCGCCACCACCACCGCACACCTATGTCATTGAAAATGAAAATGTAACTGAATTTATTGAATTTATGAGTGGATAAAAGGTTGCTGCAGTCTTTTGCAGTCCTCTATGGTTTATATTTGGTTTAACCATGTTTCTCATGCATGCATGCATGCATGCATGCATGTATGTATGTATGTATGTATGTATATATCATTCTTTTATGTGTATATACTATGGTTTTTTCAAGTATTCTGGTGATGTGTGCACATAAGTTGGTATCTGACAACTGTTCACGTGTACATACCTTTTCCTTTGTATATTCCATGTAGTAAAATTTCTGGGACATATGCTTGATTTTTGTGTATTGAAGAACATTGCCCACTTTCCTCTAGTTGTTAAATCATTTCATGTATTTTCTAGCCATCCATTCTATGAAGCAGGAAGTAAAGATGAATAGTGTTGTTTCTGGTGTCTCTTTTACTCTGGCCTTTCTGAAACAGTGATTAGGTTTTGTATCATAACCTGCATTAGTCCTCCTCTGTTGTAGCCAGGTACTTTCTAAGGACAACCCTATGAAAACACTGTGAACTTGAAACTTTCTCATAAGGATCTACTTTAGTTATTACTTTGAAAGTAAGAAAGATGATTTGACTATTTAAGTTGACATTCAGTTAATTTTCTGATAAACTCTGAATTTTATAGAATGTTACATGTAGCAAAGATAAACAATGAAGAAAATTCTTCATCCTTTCTATTTGTACTGATTTCTTTATCAGAATGTTGGTGTACTTAGAAAAATTATGGTAATATTAAGACATCTCGTATGGACCTGGAAGATGAAACAACACTGTGAAAGGGGATATGAGAACAAATATTCAAATAAATTATTTCTATTTCAGGGAATTTTTAACCATGGGTACTAAAGTGAGTATTACTTCTAATCCTTTATACATAACCTTGCCGGTTTTCATGTTTGCAGCAAAACGCAGTTTTCATGAAAAGCATAATTAAGCTAGAGTTCAGATGTGTTGATCAACTGTCTTTTTCAAGTATGTTTCTGCTTTTGGCATTAAAGGAAAAAAAAACCCACACAGATTTGATACAAAATGCCAGATGAAGCACAGTACATACTCCAATAAAAGCAGAGAGGTATAATTTAAAAGTGGCTACCAGGGTTTCCTCATGGAAGCAGGTAGTTTATTAAGAGTTGGCATTATTCTAAACACTGATACATGAAGGGTGCATTGATCTTGTAAATAATTTCGTTATTTTTACACAGAGTCCAAATACATTCACATTCACAGAAATTAAAGCTACTGTTACTTTATTTAAAATGAATGAGGCTCCAAGTAAAGTAGCAAATGTTGGTAATACTTTTTAAAACTAAACTGCATTAAACTAAGAAATGATTTGACAGATCACTTATACTCCTTTCCTTTATTTTTCATTATTTCTTAAAATCTCCAGTGCAAAATGTCTAGACTGGTGCATGTTACTTTAAATGGTACCAAAATATGTAGGCATGCATGGTATATGCACTCAAACAGACACTTAGGGAACATAAACATAACTAAACATGTATAGGTATAAAAATAGTATTGGGCACATGTTCATGTATTGACATGTACACCATCTTCTTATTTGAGAATCAATGTGTGACCCACTGAGGATAAAATATTTAGGATCTGGGCATGTAGGTGGTAGGAAAAATAAATTTTACTCATGTAATTGTATGCTCAAATGTATATGGATTTATATGTACATTTAAAATCATTAGTTTATAGTTTTTAAAGTGATTTCTAATAAATACATAATATACACTCTACCAAACTTCTTCTAAAGAACATTTCTTTTTATTACTCTGTTACTTTTACTTGTTAGTTTCCTCTGTATCAATTTTTTTAGGTTCTTTTTCAAATCATATCTGTCATCCTCTAAAAACCCTTCAGGGATTCAACTAAAATAAGTTAAAGGATAGAATAGCAGATTAGGGATAGTAAGCCCCGGAAAAAGTGATACTTAAATACTGACAATCCCTCCCCGTGTTGTGTGAGAATATGCATGCCCATGGTGAGTATGTGTGTGTCGGGGATACATTTCTGGAGCCATGCAGATTTCCTTCAGGTCAATTAGCAGCAGGTGTGCTTACCCACAGTCATCTCAGCAGCCTTTGTGAAGACATTTTTAGAAGAGGAAGGTCAAGATAAATTTGGCCCATGGGTCACTTGTCAGCACACTGAACTGCCTCTGTACTAGTACTTTTATAGGATACTGAGAATTATTTCTGTTAATGAGTGTGTTTTTGTGAATAATGATGGAGGGAGATGTGAGGCTTCAGCACATAGTTACAGTGTGTAATGGTGAAGCCTGGTAGGTAGCATTTCTGTCTTTTTAGCTATTTAAAAAGTGGTTGGTTAATAAATTGTCTGTCTTTTTGGTTTTTGGTGTGATATTCAGATCATAGACACAATAGGTACTGATTAACTCAGTGCAGCTCAACTTTCTGTCTTCTTAAAATTTGTATTTGTAACCTTAACTACTATACTTACTCATACAATATGTAACAATTATTGAAGATTATAGTCTTCTGTTGAACGTTATAATTTGTTTATCCTGTGAACTAACAGGATTTCTTTAACTTTTATCATCCCTCCATCGTACCAATTCTGTCTTTAGAAAAAAGTATTCCACATGGAGAGCAACATTTTTTAGCATCCATGCATGAAAGGGTACAGATAATATTTGCTTTTTTTAGTGTCACTATTTTACTTAACAGGATGTATGCAAACACCAGCCATTTTGCTGCACATGACAGGATAATATGTTTGTTTGGTTTTTTTATGGAAAATATTCCACTGTCTGTATACTCACTACCTTTTCTTTAACCATCATGTATTCCTGTCTTGTTTGATCCTATATCTCACCCATCATCAATACTGTAACGCAAACATGGATACAAATGTACCTTTTCTTGATACTCTGTTTCCGTTGGATACATCTGATGGAAAGGAGACTGGTGGATGATAGAGTAGGTCCCCATTTAGCTTTTGAGAAGCCCCTATAATGGTCGTGTTTGCTATCCCAGCAGCAGTTCTGTTTTTGAATATCTCCATCATTTCTTTCAATCCTTTGTCAGATGGCTAGCTTAAAGTTCTTTTTTCTCCCATGTTCTAAATACAGTAAGTAATCTCTTTCCTCTACTTTCATTGCACAAAACCTTTTAACTTGAAAGAATTTCATTTGCCCATTTATTTTAACTTTGATACTTGTGAATTCATGGTCTCATATTAAAAAGGGACACATTTATTTCTACGCCTGTGTGGGAATTGTCCCTCTATTGATTCCAGGGTTTCAGATTTTGTATTTGGGCCTTGCATCATTTTATGTTGAAATTTGTAGTAGTTGAGAAATATGGGCTTCTGTTTTTGATCATATATATATGTATATGTATATATATATTATATATGTGTATATAATATATACATATGTGTGTGTGTGTGTGTGTGTGTGTGTGTGTGTCTTTCATAAAGCAAAATAATGGTTTTGTAGTAATCAAGCAGGGCTTTAATAGGAAATGCAAGTAGGTTAATTGAAACCTCTAACCTCTATGCTATCATGAGAAACAAGCATAGACGATGTAAGCAGTCTGGCGTGGTACTTATCAGTGTAGACAGAGATCTTAGGAATTTGAATCATTTAATATATAGTCAATGAAACTACAGGCTCCCAGGGTTTGCTTCAAGCACTTCCTTCATACGATCTTCCGAGATAGGAACCATCATCACCTTAGCATTTTCTCTTCTCCAGTCATGTTTTGAGACGCAGTAGTCTAGGAGACAAGAGATAATAGTATTTCAAGGATGAAAGCGCCCATCATGGTAGTCTGGAGAGCTACATCTTTTGGCACGTGGGCAGTGCCAGCTGTTAAAGTTTCTCGTGTCCTAGTACTGTGAGAAATAGGTAGGCTGTGCTTTCTTGTACAAGATAATGGAGCATGATAACGATAAAGACCTCACAGTAACCTGGTTCTCTTACTTCTAAGCTCTTCCAAAGAAGAGCTTAGAAAGCAGAAACACAGAGACTATGGCTATGACAAACTACAAGATATTAGTGTTTTCTTTGAGTAGTTTTTCTCCTTTATCATTATATTCTATATAAACAGAAAGTTGTTTTAAAAGGATTATCTTTCCCCAAATGAGTGAATTTTAATCACATACAGGGGAATTCAGCTGTGTAGCACTTGGTGGATTCTTACATTATAAATGAATATAATGGACAAAGACTGTAGTTGTTAGTGTTTTAATTTCAGATAGGACATTACATAGCCAGGATGGGACTAGAAAGGCATTATGCAGCCCAGGCACACACTATACAACTGAGTATATGCTGGGCTCAAACTTGCAAACTAGAGGAGACAATACTCTTTCTTCTGTCTTCAAATGCAAGGATTATAGGTCTGAGATGGCACTCCTACATTTAAGGAATGTATTATCTAAATATCCACCAAAGGTATGACTTGGCTTTTCTTGACTGTTAATCTGCCTAAAGTGCTTTGCATCCTTTTCTGGAAGATGTTCAGAAGTAAGTAATGTCAATTTCCCTGTAAGATCTAGATATAAAAGAGAATACTTTTCAAAGTCATTGCTCTGGATTAACATTGCCAGGAATTGAAATTCACTTCTCACCTTGGAGGATGCTGTCTGATGAGCAGTGGCTATAGGGTCTCTGGACATTGTTTCAAAAAATAAGGAAATCTGTATGATGGAGTCCTAGTTGTGATATGATTTCATGCTAACCTGAATATTGCTTTTTTATTATGATCAGAAGATCAGGTGATCCTAGATTTTTAAATTTAAATTAGAAACAATCTTATTTTATATATCAATAACAGTTCCCCCTCCCTCCCATCCTTCCAGCTCCCCTCCCATTCCACTTCTGCTCCCTAGGGAGGGTAAGGCCTTCCATGGAGGATCATTAAAGTCTGTGACATCATTTGGGGGAGGGCCTAGGCCCTTCCCTGTGTGTCTAGGCTGAGAGAATATCCCTCTATGGGGAATGGGCTCCCAATGTCCATTTGTACACTAGGGATAAATACTGATCCACTACCAGAGGACCCATAGACTGCCCTGTCCTCCTCACTGACACCCACATTCAGGGGGCTTGGTTCATTCCTATGCTGGTTTCCCAGCTCTCAGGCTGGGAACCATGAGCTCCCCCTGTTCAGGTCAGCTGTTTCTGTCTGTTCCTCAGCTTGGTCTTGACCCCTTTGCTCATCACTCCTCCCTCTCTACAACTGGATTCCAGGAGTTCAGCTCAGTGTTTAGGTGTGGGTCTCTGCTTCTGCTTCTATCAGCTACTGGATGAAGACTCTAGGATGGCATATAAAGTAGTTATCAATCTCATTATTGGAGAAGGGCATTTAAAGTAGCCTCTCCACTATTGCTTAGATTGTTAGTTGGGGTCATCCTGTAGATCTCTGGACATTTCCCTAGTGCTAGATTTCTTTTTAAACCAATAATGGCTCCCTCTTCTATTAAGGTATCTCTCTCTCTCTTTTTTTCTTTCCTCTATTCTTCCCCTGACTCAACCTTTCTGCTCCCTCATGTCTTCCTGCCAGCTCCTCTTCTCCCTTTCTCTTTCTCCTAACTCCCTCTCTCTTTCCCTGTGCTCCCAATTAGCTCAGGACATTTTATCCCTTTCCCCTTTCCAGGGGACCATGTATGTCTCTCTTAGGGTCCTACTTTTTTCCTAGCTTCTCTGGTTGTGTGGATTGTGGCTGGTAATCCTTTGAGAGCAAACATTTTAAGGACACAATCTGACTATAATTAGGGAAACATAAGTACATTTTCATATTACTGTTCTGTGTCATAAGCTACACCATTTCTTATTGACTTTTCTATTTCCTTTGCTACATTCTAATATACAGATAAAGTAAGCCTGATGATAACTCAATAAAATTAACAAGACAGTATCCCCACCCCCACCCCCCAAAAGAGAAACCCACCACCAAAACTCTCCTAAGTTCAACAGGGCTAATAGAAAAATTAATCAGAGAATCTTGGTTAAAATATGAATAACAAAAACCAAAGGGCCAGGTTCTGAGAAGCAGGTCTTGAATTTTGATATGTGAGGTTTTCTGGGATAAGATCAGAGATGACTCATCTGAATAATGTCTGTCCTCACTCTTCTGTCCAGGCAGGTGTCTCAGTAGGAGAACCTAAACCTCTTACCAAAAATCTGAGCCATAAAATAAACACGCACTTTTGTCTTTTTAAAAAAGACAAGTGGATTTACCAAAAAAACCAGCTGTCCTTTCCCTGAACCAGAGGCCAGACATCATTAGCCGACTGTCAGACATGTGCAAGAGTCCCGACCTGTTTAAATCTAGACTATTAAAAGCAAAGCAACCTTAAACTTCTACTCAAATTGTTTCTGGCAGGGCTGTGACTCTTGCTCTTGTTTCTTTCACTTCATTTGGAGGAAATTTTTGAGAAGCCGTAGCTATAATTAAATTTTAGTACATTCTATCTAAACTTACACTATGTTTATGTTTACTTGTGCTATCTCTAGGACAAATCAAGAGAAAGAATCAATGGTTCTAGAATGCTTCTCCTGCAGCCATATTGTGTTTCAGAAGCCTATTGGTAAAAGTTCATTTGAAAGAACCCTAGGCTTTAGTTTTAGACAATGTATGGAACAGTATAGCTGCTGAGTAAAGATTTCTCCCCTTTTGCTGTAGAATTAAAAGTGTTTGTTCAGTTTTTGCACCTTCTATCACTCACAATGCTTTGTAGTTGCATTACCCTCTGATTTCCATATGTCTGCATAAAAATCAAGATTCCAGGGATGTGATCTTTAACTCAATGTATAACTAAATATTGTCGCATGCAAAGTAAACTGCCTGAATTTTAGCATTTTCTGACATGCTGTTTGATTCCTCTATAAAACCATCTTCCAAAGCTTATCCAGTCTTTAACCATTAAGTGAAATCCTTACTTTTCTATGCTGCTTCTCTCTTCCCCTTGATGTTGGTTCAGAGTTATTCGTATCTGTCCAGGGCCATTCTGAGCTTCAGACATTAATTACTAGATTCATGTCATTAAGGAATATTGCGTCCTTTGCTTTTTAAAGACAGAATAAGAAATGGCCATATGGAGACTGTTTCTAAAATCTCAGGCAAAATCATTAGTCTAAGAGTATTATCTACCTCTAACCCCAGTTGACTTCACAAGACAACTTATATTCAAACATGCAATTCTCAAACAATAATCTTTTTAAAATTTCATACAAATCTCATACACACAGATGTGTGAATGTGTGTGTATGCTTATTTTCAATTCTGACAGGATTTAGGCACTTTCTGTGATGAATCAGTACTATCAGCCATAGGTGGGAGACAGCAGCATTTTCTTACCTGGCATAAGCAGAGTCAGTGGCAGAAAAATGCTGAGTAGATTCTGGGCACAGCTAGGAGATTTACTTGGCACTCAAGTATCTCTTGAGCAAAACTCTGGAATCATTTGTCACTTTCTGAATCTCAATGCATACTACTAGGAAGGGATTTGAAAGTCATTATTGTTGCACAAAAGTAATCCTGTTACAAATTATATTTTCTTATATGTATATTTTAATTTTTAAATATTTTGCCTATCATGTGATAAATATTCATGGAAAACAAAGAAAGGAAAAAATGAAAATTACATTTACTAGTGCCAGATCATTTGATTAATTTTTAAATATAGATAAGTATGCTTATCACAGAAGGATTGACAAGAATACATTAGATGACACTTGAACCTCTTTTTATGTTATTAATGCTCAAACTCCAAAATAATCTGTGCTACAAGGCATGGTATTAGTTTACCTCACTGTAGCACTCTTTTCAGTAGCCATGTGCTATCATTATAGTTAGATGATTGTGTTAGTTATTTGTATAGTTGATGTTCATCAGTTGCTGTATAGACTCAAACATGTTTGAATATTTTTCTGTAGCAGAATCATAAGCATGGTGTCCAGTAGTACAGGAAATGAAATATGCAGTAATATGCAAACCTTAACTACTAAATAGAATCCATACTTCAGCTGTTTCAATATATTGACTGCTCCTTTGCGCCAGGCAATGCACTTGGCACTATGAAAACGGCTATAAGTGTAGGCAATTGGGTTGTTTGAAGATCTGAGATTTACAAAGAAACTGTGACTTTAAATTCTGGCCCTTCTCAGCAGGGTGGTGTTGGCTCATGCTTTTAATCCCAGCACTCAGGAAGCAAAGGCAGGGGATCTCTGTGAGTTCCAGGCCAGTCTGGTTTATAGCAGTGAGTTCCAGGACAGCCAGGGCTGTTACACAGAGAAACCCTGTCTCAAAAAATAAAACAAAAAAATGAAACAAAACAAACAAAAAAATCTGGCTCTTCTCACAGATTAACTTTACTAAGCCTCAATGATATTTCAAAATATATTTGTTAGTATGAATTAAAGTTTGCAAGAAACTGTTTAGTGCTCTAAAATTACCATTGTCTGCTCCAGTAGAAAAAAATGTGACAATCAGTTGTTGACATTGAATTGGACATTTGGACATTAGTTTCCTTCTCATAGAACTCCTTTTCTTCTTTTAGGCCTGTTTTAGCAGATGTGTCAGAATGGCTATTTGAGCTGATTTCTGTTCCTTTCTCTCCATCTGAAACAAAGATAACCAGTATTTTCCAAGTATTCGATATTTCATATCTGCTGTGGTCTTAAATGATGAACTACACACATTAGAAATTTTGTGACATTATCTTTGAAAATATTCTGTAGTATTTATTATAATACAGATTTGTCACTTTAAAGGTAATTAAATCAAAGGAAATCAAAAGGATGTCAAACAATTGTAGATACTCTTCCTGCATCTTGGCAAATATACTATTATGAAAAGAAAGCAGTTGATATCTCTTCTTATTTCTATTAATACTTTAGAATTACTTATTTGGTTTTATATATGTGGCTATTTGCCTGCATATATATATGCATTTGTATTATGTGGTATGGCTGGCGGCTGCAGAGGGACTGGAGTTGTGAATGGTTGTGAGCCACAATGTGTATGTTGGGAATGAATCTGGTTCCTCCACAACCACTGAGACATCCCCCAGCCCTATACTTCTCGGCTCTATGAGAGATCCTGCTGCCTTTTTTCCTGTTTTTTTTTTTTTTTTTTTTTTATTTAATTCACTCTCAGCAGTTCCTCTTTGGTTTCACATAAGTCCTAGTATGTAAAGTCTGTGATAATGTCATAGATTTTGGCATGTGAGATTCCTCAAATCTTTTGTTCTTTATGTAGAATTTCAGACTCTTGAAATAAAAAAAATCCTTGTAATTTGCCTAGCTCATACTTTCATGCATTTGTGTCTTCCATTTCTACTGTATTCTCTGCAATTATATGGCTTTCTATGAAGATTTTAAATGTCATATGCAATTAACATTTTAAGGTGACCCATTTCTTTTGTAGAGTAGCTCAAAATTTTATCAGATTAAAAAATTAAATGAAATGCACGCCCTTTTTTATCACACACTTATTCAAATAAGATCTCATGAAGTCTGACTGGGTATGTTTTCCATTATCACATCATTTCCAGGGTAGTAACTTCATCCTTGCTTGGGCTTTTCTTCAGTAAACACTCCCCAATTCATCTAAACCCTACTGTGTAAAGTGGTTTCTCAACGTAATCATTGTTTTGAGTTGGATCTTCTGAATTTAACTCGACCATAAGGAGGGCACTAGATATGGGGCATACAGTGACATCGACAATACATATCTCAGAAAAGAGCCTAAGTGCACAGATTTTGTATCCATTTTGTAAACATGCACTGGTTATTTTCCTTTCGGTTTCTATGTGACAATGTCCCTTTGTCTCTTCTTTTCTTACATTGACCACTTATTTTACTTAAGAATAAGTTATACCACTCTCTTCTAAAAATATTACCACATGTCATTCTATGAACTAATAAAATACCTATATCCATAGCGTGAGTGCCTTCACTAATTGCGTCATAAAAACAGAGTAGAACATATGCCACAATATTTCTTCCATGATTCTGCAAAGACATCATCAGTGGAATCTGGAGCATCCACCCAGTGGAACCAGTCAGGGTGAGAAGAGAAGAAAGAGCACATTACAAGTCCTATCAAGATATTTCAACGAAATGGGATATCCCAGTCTGATGATTTCCCCCTTCACAACCAAGAAAGAAAGAGAGGCTCAGACCTACATACCATTCCCATTTCTAAATATTTGATCAAATTCATTGGGAGATGAAATAGAAATAGTTTTCTCTATCATTATAGCCGTTCTCATTTGATGAATAATTAATTGCCTTGAGTCTAAACTGTATTCAGCTCTGCTTTACATAGGGTGTGGCGATACAGGCATTATCTTTCTTTTGATTATAAACCACTGTAAATGATAAATAATTGATGTTAGTTTTGTCTTTATCCAAAATGCAAAATCTGCAGTTTTTACAGAAAAGCATAACCTTTAGAATTATTTGGATAAGTAAAAGAACTAGTTGCACTGCCAGAATAGAACTAGAAGTACTATTATAGAAAAGGCTTATTTCAAAGTGCATGAACACTACCAATGACAAAACTAAATGTCTTGCTCTTTTGGTGCACTATTGTGGTTATAATGAGTGCATTCCAGTATTTTCTCTTGTATAGATGGATTGATGCTAAGGTGATGTAAATTTACTCTGTAGGCTTATAATCTATGATTTGCAAAGTTAGGATTCCTAGTTGAGGTCATTCAATATGAAAAAAAACCCAAACATCTAATTCAGGATTTCCATAATAGTTTAGTGGAAAAGTGGGTATATTATACCAGTTTTCATTTTTTTTATTCCTGTAGGACAGTATCCTTGAAGACATTACAAAAATCTTCTGTTTGTAATTGTCATCCAAGTATCATTGAAATAATACTTGTCTTGACAAAATGCACATTCAGTATAGAAAAGAATTTATAGTCTTCACACTTTAGAAATGGAATTTATCCGATTTTTGATCATGTCAGCGGTGATAGATATTTATATTAAGTGTGAAAATGGTAGCACTTACTATTGATAAGTAGGCAATATCTATTAACTCTAAAATTTTTCTTCCAGAATGAAATGTACATATAATATTATCTTTTATTCATAAAGCTATTCTATCTGATCTCTTTGCTGTTAGTGATGTGTAAAATAAAATGACAAGAGTGTAAACATCTGTAGACCTTTTAAGAAAACTTAAAATTTAGAGATATATGCAAGTTATAGCAAGCATCTTATTATGCTTTCAGAATTCATTTTCTGAAAATTAGTTAGAACTCGATTAAAAGCTACATCTATGACAAAGGAATCATAAAGGGGCTGGAGGGATGGCTCAGCAGTTGAGAGCATTGGCTGCTCTTCCCAAGGAGCAGGGTTCAATTCTCAGCACCTGCATGGAAGCCCAAAGCTGTCTGTAACTCAGGTTCCAGTGGATCCAATACACTCACAAAGACATGCAAGTCAAGTGCCAATATATATATATTTTAAAAATAATTAAAAACCTTAAAAAGGAATTATAATTTGGGAAGATTTATAATAAAATATGGTCACTAGGAGTAGGTGGAGATTTTCAACAGGACTGCCATCAGCTGTGTTCCAACAGTGGCTTCCAAACTAATGACTCAGAGACAATATTAATTATAAATGCTTGATAACTCATAACTTAAATTAACCCGTTTATATTAATCTACATTCTGCCATGTGGAATTACCTCTCTTTTAGAATGCACATCCTGTTTCTTCTTCGTGTCTCCTGGTAACTCCTCTGACTCCACCCTCCTTCTTCCCAGCATTCTGTCTGCCCCCAAAATTCTGCCTAGCCTTTGGCTAAACAGAGTATTACTTACATTGAGAACAATACATATTTACAGTGTAAAGATTTTTTCCACAGCAATTAAGTAAACAGTTTGCAATGTTTCTGTATATTTATCTTCTCTACTTTTCTGAAACATATATGAATATATATATATATATAGTTGTACTATGTGTTTGAGGCCAGCATCTGCCTCTAAACTGATTTATTGTAATATGTGTGTTCTGAGTCCATTCTTTCTTTGATTTTTATGTAAGTTTTGGTAAAAATAAATGTAGTATTCTATTCATAAAGGGGAATTATCTTGACATAGAGATAATGATTTTCAATATGTAGCAGTAAGGATTCATATTGAAGCCAAGGAAGCAAACTCAATAAAGTATCACTTTGGTTCGGGTTTTGGCTACAAGAATATCATAGTGCTCCTTCTCCAGAACTATTAGAAAATATCAAAATCCTATTCTTGTGTTTATTCAGCAAATATTTGAGTACCTACTCTGGGCCAGTCTCTTTCTAAATGCTGAGGATACAAAGATTAATAAAGCATTTTTTCAGCTTGAAAGAATATGTTAGAGTAGTCACATGCATTTGTGTGTACACACTCAAAAATGTCACATTATTATAATGCTAAAATACACTAATAAAGCTATGCCAGAGACTTCCGGGAACCCAAAGAAGGACACCTCATCCAACTGTAATTCACAATGCATCCTTGTTTATGCTATGTCCCAAATGATTATTTATGTACAGACATTATCTATGCAGAAGAATTATAATGAATATGCTAGCATTCCAGAGTGCAGAAATATTAAAAAACAGAAATAAATAGAGTGTTGTATGGAAAATGAAAACATGAAGTATGTGTTTAATAATTACTATTACTATCAATTCTAGGAAGGCTTTCACATGGGGTATTACGTTTTTTGCTTAGTAATAACTTCTTAAGTTATTACTTATTACTTAAAAATAAGTTATTTTTAAGTTTCCAATTTAGAATGTCTGGGTTTCAAACACAGAAAGCCTGATTCATGTACCTTCATTGTCTTGCCACTGTGAGTTGGTTCAGTCCAATAATGCAAAGTTACTGTTGGTAGTTCCCCAAATCAGGATTCTTAGGCCAGTGGGGCAGGAGTTCCACAGCAAGGGTCCATGGGAATTTTTTATGAGACACTGAGTTCTGAAGAATGACCCATAAGAATCTGAACACTTTTCTAATGTATAGTACTCAAGTTTTCAATTTCCTTCTCACACATTGGAAGATTGGCATGGCTTATTTACCAGTGGGGAAAAATAGTCTTTCAATTGTTTTTGGCCTTTTCAGTTGCATTTGTGTACAGAGTATGAGAAACTGAAACATTCCATTAGAAGCCAACATATCTTTCTTCTTTGAAAGTTGAATTCTAAATATCATATTTTTTCCTATTGAAGTGTTCAAGGTTGCCCTTATAGCTGTAATCTGTGTCCTCCATTAACACGTTTCTTAGCTGGGGATATCATTAAGTTTTATTTCTAGGACCAAGGGGACAGGAAATCTCTCTTCAATGTAGTCACTTAAAACTGAATTTTCCATTTAAGATATTTCTCATAAGAACAACCTGTTGCTTATGATTAGGCTCACAATAGCCTCGACTTTCAGAAAAAAAGAACACAGTGTGTGTCTGAAGTCTGCTCATATGCAAATCCCTTTACTCCACTCTAAATAGTCTTAAATATGAATTATCTGTGTGATAGTACATCACAAACACTTGAAAAATTCAATAGATTTGATATTGTTCTATAAATAGTTGCTGAAAGAAGTAATTTTCC